AATGCCACCTCTTACCAGTTATATACAATTTTTATTGCTATCCTGCATGCCTGTCAGCCCGCCGGCGGCATGCCACATTTTTCCAACTTTACTCTTTAAGTGTCTTCTACCATTGTCGCTACCGTTTCCGCATTCAGGACCGATTAATTGTCAGCACGACGATGATTTCAACGGATTCAAACCGCCTTCTCCTGGACCGCCTGACACTGAGAGGACAAAATACAAATATTCGTACATACGTATGTATGTATGTACTGAAAGTACCCTGCAGGGCAAGCTACTAGTTGTGAACTAGAATGCTAACAGTTTACTTTTCAGACCAACCTGTTCACGTTGTATCCTTTTTAAGTTTTAGCGACTGGTATTTTTAACATGGCGATGCCCTACGAGATGTTAATTGTCAGGCTATGCATCAGCAGCTACTAGTCGAAATACTAGTAGCATCATATCAGTTGGTGAGATCGTGTGCCAATTCATTCTCCGTGAAAAGCATAAATATGACAGTTTAGCAGCGGCGCTGCAACAGTGGCAATGGCAGACAGATGGAAGCTATGCCGCGCCATTCGAGAGATCCGAGCTCAATTCTCAGAAGCAGGATTATTTTGTCTATTTTATTTTTTGTATTTATATCTTTCATTGTAATTTAAAATTGTACTTTTTTTATAAAGAAACGATTTTATTTCATAATTTTTTTTATGATATTTGAGTATTTGGGTTTTTTCCAAATAAAATTAAGCGCAAGGTAAGTGGTATTTTTACTGAATAGTTTGACAGTTTTCTAAAAATGAATTTTTATCAACTAGTTTACTTTTTTCTATGAGGAACTGACATTATTATTAACTGTTCATGAACGGGCATTTATGCATACTAGTTCAGCTTTCCGCTGTAGGGTAGCTTCAGGCCAATTGCCAACTCACAATGGTTGTTGTTATTTTAAACTTTTGTCTGAGCAGGCACTGCTTAACTGACTAGTCGTAAATTTATCTTTCTGGTGAAACAGAAGAAAAACAAAATAGGACAGTTTTAGCAGATGAAAGCAACTAGCAGTTAGACTACATACTAGAATAAGGGACATACATACATACCTACATTCAAACCCTCAACTGCTGTTAGCAGCAATGGCAATTGATGTTGAGTAATTGTTAAATTGTCAAAAGTCAAGTGTAATGCGAATAGATCTTGAACCATGCCACATGTTGGGAAGACACTTTTGGCATCGCTCTTGCAGCAGTTCAAAGCTTGGCCAAGTAGGAGTATTAATGATGGAAAGGAGCGTCAGTAAAATGCCGGGATTGTATAAAATAAATTTCAGCCAAAGCAAAAGTGAAAGTTGAGTTGCACCTCTTAGGTTTTACATAGTTAGTACTCAATGAGCCTCAAGTAAAAAATTCGTTAGAAATAGAATAATACTCGTCTAATTAATTACTTAACAATGGTAAGTAAAGCAAAAATTTGCTACATCTACACGTGCATGTTGTAACATAATCATGTTTTTATTTTATTTTGTTTAATAGCAAGTAAAAACGCGATTTGCCACAATTAAAATAATTGCATTATGTTGTAGTAAGTATGTAAAGAGTACATATAAAAGAACGCTAGCTAATGACCGCTGAACTTCTTCATGCATTCTTCGGGTAAGGAGCCCAAACAATTGTGCTGCATGTTGAAACATGCAGTGATAGCATTACAAACAGTAATAGTAAAGCATGTCAGCTAGTAACAACAACAACAGCACATATACTAGAGGAAAAATTGTAGCATTAAAGAAAATGCACGCTAGGAAGGTATTTTTTTGCTTTCTGAAAACCACTAATGGCGAATTTTCACTAGGCATTGAAATGACAAAAAATGTATGCCATTTAAAAGAAATGCCATGTGGAAATTAACTTAATGACCTCATAATTTTTTAAAGCCCGACTTTGTCATTGTCATTTTTGCCATTTAATACCTAGTGGAAATCCAGCCTAAGTGTAAAAACATAACAAGTATGCATTTTTTACTTTGATAAATTTTTTTTTTTTAATAAAACGTGTGGTATTGCTGTGAATATGTTAACTGCTATTTTTAATAAAAAAAAAATAAATTTAAATTTCAACTGTTATTTTTTAACGAAAAAATGAAAGTCAAATTGCAACTTTTGTATCTGATCGAAATATTTAAGTCAAATTTTATCTTTTCCTTTTGACGGGAAAAATAAAAGTAAAAATTAACTGTAATTTTCGATTGAAAAAATAACAGTTTATTACTGACTTAAAAAAAAAGTCATTAAATAGACAAATTCTTGTCGACTGACTTTTTGAATTGAAATTTCGCAAATAACTATTATTTTCGATCCCTGCTCTTAATTTACAACCCTTAGTTTTGATGAGTATTCCTTAGCAGACCTAAGTTATATTCCAACTGGGCTGGCAAGTCATTCCTACGTAATCTAATGTTCTCGTTTACACGCAAAAGATTTCTTAGTAATTGATTAGGGGTGCGCTAAAAGCTAAATATTTAAAGACAAAAAAAACTGCAAATATAACTATTTTTCTTATCGAAAAAATAAAAATTATAAAATAGTAATTAAATTTGATCGAAAAAATAGAAATGTTCACAAGACCATATCACGAATTATCAACTCCGGTGATGTATAAACAGTACTGGGCGATTACACAGTGACGGGTTGGACATTTGTCCTGTAAAAATTTCGTTCTTGTTTAAATTTAAGTATAGAGTACTCAATCATTCTACTTCAGTTATTACAAAATACGAAAAAAACTCCAGCCTACTTTTATATGGAAAAAATTTGATTTATATTTTCTGTCACGGATGGGACAAAAAAAAGAGCAGAATGTTTTACGGAAACTCTGCGAATTTATTTCACTTTTCTGTGTGAACTTGATGTCTTAAAATAAAACAAAGAACCAGGAACACAAACAAAGCAAAAACTACAACAAAAATCTATGCCTTTATTATACAAAAAAAATCCGAAATTCCTCTGTCACGGTGGCGACAACGTCTGTAACGGATAGGACACGTACGAATTTTTATATGAAAAGGAGCTTTTAGTGTGCTTCATATAAAAAGATTAGTTATTAAAAAATATCAGAAGCCAAGTAGGGGTTAAATTCACTCACGTTTTATCTTGGGATGGTGCCTTTTATATAGAAGAAAATGCTTAGCACCGTCAGCCAAAAAAATTATTAAAAATGAACGCGATTTCCTAGCGTCTTGAAATTTACACTTTTGCCTACTTAAATTTAATGGGCTAGAAAACTGGATACCTAAAAATTCTGAACAAAAAGTTTACAATTTTTGGGTGTAATTGTTAAATCTTGTTTTGAGTTTTTATATATAATTTTTTTACGAAGTTTGAAATGTGGATTTATGTGGTTCTAGTTAGGTAATGTGCTAGACTTTTATAAAAAAAAAAAAACTATAAACATCAGATTAACGGAATGAAAAATCAAAACTGGTCAAAATGTAACTTAACTTAATCGGCTGACCACAAGGGCATATAGATAATAGACGAGTCCGCGCATCCCACCTCCTCCCTTGCGTGCACACCTTAACAAACAAATAAAGCCCTACCAGCCCTGTAAACCTACCTCTGACAACTGTCCCACACATAGCTGTCACAGGTGGGACAGGCCTCTTTGTCGAATTATTCTTATCTAACTACGATACGATGACTGCACCATACTCGTACTATATATGTATTACGTATCGTTACACTGCTACTATTTATAGTAGGTACAGCGCTTGTAAACTGTCTATGTATCTACGTACTTGAATGCGCACTTGGTTTTCACTTTAGCAGTTCTTGTTTCAGTTTTGTTGTGCTGTGCATGTCATGTCAAAAACAAGTTAGATTTTTTTAATTTTTCTAGTTACAACAGCTGGCGGTACACGTTTGCCGCCTTACCTTTATTTTAAAATTTTTATGATAGAATTTTTTATAAAAAATTGTTGACCGTTTTACTCCTGTACTGTACTGGCCCGCTGTGTATTTATTATAGGCTGGTATGCAGCTCTCAAGAAATCGGCCAAGAAAAATTTGCCATTATTTCGTGTGTGTGTCCAAGAAATTTTGTCATTTTTGATACTTCACAGCCTGTTGCCTCACTCTTTCCTCAAGAAATAATGGAACGGGAATATATTTCTGTTGCAAACCTGGGTTGCCTTGTGCTCTTTTTTCACAAAAAAACTTTACCTCGTAAAATTTGTTAAAAAAATTGGTTAAATTTTAGTACAATAAAGTGAAATTTTAATTCGCTAAGGCTTACTACTAATTTTTGGCATTTTTTTGTTTTTTTTACGGTGTTACGTATTTTTTTCATACAAAGCAAGTATGTTCGACCACTTTTTTTAAAGAGACGCACATGAGCAGCACTTTCCACTCGCACTTTATTTTGTACTCAATTTTAACAAGTTACAAAACTGCAAACGAAATTTTTTCTAAAGATTCTAATTAAAAAGTTTGAAATTTTTTGTGAAACATTGCAGAATTAATTTTTATAGTTGTTTTGCACAAAATTGGAAATTTGGTGTTAAATACCAAATAAGGGACAAATAATGGGCATTAAAATCAATACGGGCCATTTGGCGTCCGGTATGAAATAAAAAAATTACCAGGACATGAATAAAAAAAGAACACTGTCCCGTATAATACAGGACGGATGGTCGCCGTTCTCATACGCCAAATCGTACGTGGCGTATGAGTAACATTTTCCATATTAAAATTACAATTTTTTTTCATTCGCAATGCAAACTTATATATTGGGAAACTTACCTGATCTAGAAAACGGTATACAGATCCGTCCGTAATCTGCGGCCCATAATTAAGTTTACGTGTCTCGGCGCTTTTTTGTGTCATTTTAGCGGCCCTACAGTGTTGTTAAAGTTCTGTGTGCAATGTTTGCTAACGAGCAGCGCTTGTAATTTTTCTAGACTTCTTTAACTGATAAATGATTTATTTTTAATTTTAATTAAAGTTAGACGGTTTAAGTGGATACTCGCTATTTGTATAATAAGAGCGCTTTCAATTTCACTTTCTTCTGCTCCGGCTGTTTCCTCCTATTCTTCTTCTTCTTCGTCTTACTCTCTACCACATCATCTAATTTAAAGATACAGAAAAAGGTGAAGTGGAAAAGGGCAAGGAAAAAATGTTTGACTTAAAAAGCGCTTGCATAAATTTGTATTTCATGAGTGTCAGTTGTATTAAAAGCTTCCCATGACAATTGTCCTTCTGCTTCACCTCATTTGGCGTTTCCTATTTAAGCGAACATTTACTTCTTATAAATTACAAATGAATAATTTAATGGGAAATACGGAACAAAATCCCAAATCAACAAAATTGAAAGTGCATACAAAATAAATGTTTTAATTATCCTTTATTTAAGTAAAGACACAAATTCCTGGTATACATATTTATATACAGTTTCTTTAGGCTAATTGCTGCACGTTTGTTCAAACAAGGGTTTTAGAATATTTTCAGCAGAAGATTTTTTCTCTAAATTTTTCCCTCAATTTGTTTCATATAAAACGTTGAATTTGTATTTGAATAAGTAATACGCATGTACGAGTATGTATGCTGTTTATATTGAAATAAAAGCAATCGCATAATGAAGGCTAAATGTGTACATGTTGTTTTGTACGATTTTTATTTATTAAAACTCAGGTTTTTTTTTCATATTGATTTATTTTCTAACCTGGATGCCCGATTCATAAATAATTATTTAAAATTTGTGTGTGTATTTCTGGATTTTCTAAAACGTGGTCAAAAGGAGCCTTTAGTGAAAGAGATAATGGGTTAAAATATTCTACAAAATTATTCCTCGTGAAATTTTACCATATGTACCAAAACTATATATTTCGCTCTGATATTCAGACAATCACCCTGAAATTGTTGCACAGTAAAATCGGCTAATATTCCTTGTGTGAATCAATGAAAATATCGCAGTCTGGGTTTCCAAGTATTTAAGCAACTTTTGGTAACTTCGTAGTTCTTCTATAGACGTACAGTTTGTAAGACGAAGCTACCTGAAGAGGCTATACACTTGTAAGGTTGAACATGTAAAGTTTAAGCATTAAGGTGCCAATGATGTTTTCAGATGCTATGCGGACGGAAGCCGTGAAGAGATTGGGGTCAGACATTGCGGTCGACGACAATCATGGCTGCAGGCACTGCGACGGCACTTGGGAGGTGCAGAAATGGACAGACTTGGCGGGAGGGGTAATGACGGTGAGGTAGCGTGATATCGCCTGATGGTGGAATAGGCGGGTACATCTTTTTTGTATGGTGCGAAGGGCATGCATAACTGCTCACAAGAACCACCCCCTAGTCCGGCGAGCTTGCTCATGCTTAAATGCAAGCAATATGATTCTGAGAATGCATGATGAGGATGCGATGGCAGTCAAGGGAGGCATTCGTGCGCAATGACTCATAATCCGACGACCCGTACGTAACAAAATTTAGGGAGGTCTGTATAACGACACGGAGAATATTACATAAGGCTGATGAATGGTGCATCAAGGTCGGATTTTATCAATCTTTCGGTGTTTCGACTCTAACTAGATACGAAGCTGGTATGGTAAACTCACGTCGAGCTAGAGGTTATTCGAGTGCTGGAAGTGGTAACACCTGGGGTCTAAACGGGCTATGGTATTTTGGATTTAGATTGCTTTACTCAGACCGACTAAAAGGTATTTTGCTATGTATTTTACTGCTTTTTTGGACTTACTACCTCGGGATTTAGCGATCCAAGAGAGGTAATGACAATGAAATGTCGACTGCATTAGTTTGGATTGTGGCGCGAAGAGCGGATTTCCGCGCTCAGAGATAGAGAGAGAGAAATTCCTTAAGTGCGTCGTTAAATTTCCCACAAGGAAGCAATTGATGGCTCTAAGACTCAAAACGAAACTGGAACTCGATGGCATCTGGAGGGCACTGGATAATTTACGAAAGTTGACATAGACATCGAATTAGGTTATGCAGTGGCAAGGCTAAAGGCCTTAGTAACCGCTCGTGGCTGATGAATTGGCGAACTGCTGTTATTTGGAGCGTTCGGAGTACCGGAACTGTGACAAGCAAGAGGAAATTGATGAATAAGACTCATTACAACCGTTAGTGCAGTGCTGAATAAGTCAGAAATTTTTCCACATGAAAATTTTGACGCAGTTCGGTTCGTTTAAAGAAGCTCTCTTGAACAATATCAAATTTGCCATATCGGAGAAATACTGAAATGTTCCCTTTCGTAATTAACCGATTCAGTTGTAAAACAACAAAAAAAATTCTGAGATCGCCAGATATTTTGGCAGCAAAATACCTCCTCAGTCAGGGAAGGAGCAAGCTACGTGTCCCAAAAGGACTGATTAAGCGATGCTATCTATGTAGAGCAGCTTCTCTGCAGCTGTTCGCCTCTCGAAGGATGTTTGGCAGTTTTGGGTTGGATCTATTGAGAAGGGGCGAGCTACATTCTATTTCCCTTCTGCTACTAAGATTCATAAAAGAGTTTGGTAAATGTGCATGTCAGTCTTCCGCCTCCTCTTTACACTCTCTGAAAGCGTTGAATACACTACAAAATATTGCCTGAGTGCTTGCAAAAAATTTGGTGAGTGTGAATGAACTCGCGTGTGATGTTACACAAACAAAGATTTTAGATATTTTTTTTGGCTTTTTGCACATTCTCTTTATTTATTCTCATGTTAACAACAATAACTTTTTAAAGTTCTGTTGGAAACACGAAATGTCTGTCACACTTTTTGCTGTTTCTTAAGATAAGAGTAAATTACTTTCAAGTTTTGTTCATGCGACGGCAAAAAATAAAATGTAAAGCCTTGTTTTGGAAGTTACTTTAAAAATTTTTCTATTTTCTTGCTGCTTGTTTTTAGTTTTGCTAAATCAAAAATAGAAAACCAGAAACCCAGTTTCTATGTACACATCTACATACATACATACATGTATATGTATGCATATACATATTTCCTTACCAAAGCTTATTGGAGCTGAATATGCCTTTGTTGCTTCCGACTCGATTGAATAACCTCAAATAATAGTTAAAAATCACACCAGCCGATGCCAATTTTGACACAAGGAACAGATGGTGTGAGAAACCAAGAACTGCTGGTTTGGTCCACACTTGAGTTCCATGGAGTCGGAGAACTTCTTGTGTGCTTGCTTGCATTGGGGGGTGACATGAGTTGGAAGCCTTGGAGGCAAGGTGTGCCATACGGGTTCTAAGGGTGCAACATCCGTTCCAAGGGTTGCATAGATATCTCGCATATGCAGAAGAAATCAAAATCTGGTCTGGGGTTGAACTCGATGCGAGCAAAACAACAGTTTTTTGTGTGAAAATATGCGAATCATTCCGGTATGTAGAACAGGCCGCCGCAAAGTGGATCAGCATATCATAATTGAATTTTCCGAATGTAAGATTTTTTTTTAAGAAAATGATAAGAAGAATATACAAATTATTGATTCAAATAAAATATTCACATTTTTAACTCGATTTGTCGTACAAACATGCAGTTTTTAAGCAGAAAACAAAACCGACTTCACTTCTCATATTAATTTCTTCATGTTTTAATGATCGGATCTAAGCCAAATTAGTATGAGATCAAAATGAGGCAAAATGAGGGTGACCGGTAATAAGATCAACAGAAATAAGGTAAATTGACGTTACTTCCCACCCTGGTTCGAAATAAAGTCAACTGACATTATTACCTTTTCAAAAGCGAAATAAAGTCACCAACCATTTGGAAATAAAGTCATTGACGCTGTACATTCAACCGACTTCAATGCTCATATAAAAATTTAAGAGCACCGTTAATATCTTCATGATGCTTGTGGAACCACCGTTCCGATAAAAAAAAAGAATAGTCGGAAACGGTTCACGAGGTCCAGAGTTATCCGGTAACATACACACAAAAAATATTCCTTTTTTTGAATTCGGTTAAATGGATCAACGAAGGAGTTAACCATTAATTTTTAAGCAAAAAGCGTAACCGACTTCAATTCTCATGTAAAAATTAGGGGTACCGTTGATTTTTTCGTGATCCAATGATCGGATCAAAACCAGGCACCACCCTCGAGGTACCACCTTTCTGATAAAAAAATAATCGATTAACGAAACCGGCTGACGAGGTTCAAAGTTGTGCGATAACATACATAAAAAAAATATTCTGACGAATTGATAACCTCCTCCATTTTTTGAAGACAAAAAAGAAAGACGAATTTAAGCAAATACATACATACATACATTGGAAAGAAGCCCGATCGTTCAACTTTAATATGATAATTGAATCTTTATTCGAAAGCTTTGCAATGACGACCTTACATATTGAAATGTACAGGTTTAAGTTANACGCACCATCGTTGTTAGACGCACCATCGTTGTTAGACGCACCATCGTTATTCGCGCCGTTGCTATCATTTGTAAAATCGCCATCATCGTCGTTATTCGCTCCATCGTTGCCACGCTCACCATCGCCGTTATTCGCACCTTTGTCATTGGTTGATCCCTCGCCGTTATTCGCGTCGTTGCCGTTGTTTGGTCCATCGCCGCTATTCGCACCATTGCCAGCACCTTCGCCGTTATTTTTTTCTTTGGCTGTACCATTGCCTCCATCGATATTTGGTGGCACCGTAGCTTTCGCGCCGCGTTTTTCTGGCACACTATCACCTCCAGGCACGTCAATGGCTCCTGGACACAAGCCCCGTGCTTCTGCCGACAGCTCGCTAAGTCGTGCAGCCAGCGACGCTTTTGCTCCACTAGCGTTGAGCCCCACTGCCGTGCACCACGCTTTTAATTGAAGTAGCGAGTACTTCTCCGCGTTAATTGTTTCCCGATTCATATTGAAATTTTTTAAAAGCTTTACGTTGGAAGGGTTCTGTGACCACTTCTGATGAAATGTACAGGTTTAAGTTAATAAAGTGGTAGCCGGGTTTTAAATAAAACACCTTCTCCTTTCGCTGCTCAAATTGGAATGTCCTCTTTTATTCTTTTCTTTTCACAAGATGGTGTCTTATAACTATATCTTAAGGTCTAGTTACACTATTCGTGTACTAAAAATATGCTAAAGGGACTATTACACTATTACAATGATTTACATGATTTATTAATCTATTACTTAAGCTAGCCTATACAACGCTACTACAATATGTACATATGTGCTTGTGTTAATTTCAAAGTAGTATACGAACTTTTGTTAGCTATACATTTAAATATATCCATACACACATATCTATATCCTGATACATGTGGACGCATATAGATGACCTAAATATATAAGAAAGCATATCCTTTCTATTCAGAAATATTTAGTTTTCAACTTTTAACATTTATGTATTAGTTATCTGCTATTAATTTGTGTACTTTACACTTAAGAGTGATGCCTTAAGGTACACTTTGTGAATTTGCTTGGAATGACCCCGAAAGTTAATCTACAAATATGGGTTTTCACTCTAGCTAATATATACATACATTTTAAATTGCATATATGTAAATAAGTACACATGCATATAAAAACTTTCATATGCGCGTATGTATTTAAGTAAATACTACATCTGCTTAAAGCTTCATAAATGTGTGTCTGCATAAAATTCATTCGTATAAAAACCTTTTTTTCGCAAATCTAAATCAATACTGTAAAAAAAAATTTATTTATTGTATTAGTTGCAATAGTCAATAGAACGTTTTTTAACTAAAAAATAAAAACTAAAAGCTACAGTCAGGATTTCCACTTTCTCCTGCAAACATATTTCAAATGAAACTAGTTCAGTTTTAAATCAATTATAAATGCTTTTTCATACATACGTACATACATACGTATAGTACATATGCTCATACATACAAGAATATACGGAGAAGTGTAAAAGTTTTATAAAAAAAAATTTTACGTCCACTCGTTGCTTAAAAATTTATACTTTTACTAAGCAACAATGAAAACTAAATTTTTAATTGACCTTGTGCAAGTCCATAGGTAAATATATAGCACACATTTGCTTCAGCAAGTATCCGACGAGGATAATGCGACGAGGCATATCTGAACCCGCCACCACCTTCATCGATGCTCCCTTAATAACCCCACGGTGATAGTGTCTCTGTGAAAATAATGGATAACCATCTCGGAAAGAAAGTGCAACCACCTAAGATAGACCTCACGGCGCCATCGCAGCTGTTATCCTCCGCCCAAAGGATCGGCATTGTGGATGGCTCTCAGCTCATCCGTCGACCAAACAGCTGTTGGACAACACATATCGACAAGAAATTTTACTAGCAACCAGAGAATAATTTTCTAAAGGTTTACGAAGTAGGGATGGTACTCAAATATGGGCGTTGAGCGTTTTTTGCACTTTAGGTTAAAAATATATCGAAAGCCTGAGACGCCGCAACAGTTATGACCAACGATTTTGATTCAACACGTCGAAGACCTTTGAAAAAGTGTACTCCGGGGCCTGGTGAATTATTTGCAATAAAATTCTGTCGGGCCGTGTAATATACGGGAAGTATAATGGCGTCGCGAACTTTCCTGCATAGTTTGTGGGTACAGTTTCTTTCCCAGCTGGCTTGCCTCTCGCTGCATCGTCACCTGGTTTAAGATTATTTCTCGGAGCGGAGCTAAGGTATTTCCAGAATTAGTTGGGTATTCGAAGTTGTTAGAAAAATTACATAGTTTCGTAAATTATCCGACCGACGAGAGCGTGATCTGCACCAAGTTTTTTGATACGCATATAACTAATTGGATTATTTTGGGAAAGGCACCATGCTAATTTTTGCTTACTTACATGAAACCAAAGCCCTAAAGTATGGTACATTATTATTGTTGCTTTATATATCTTTTGCATATTGTTGGGCAATTAGCCAGGTTTTTATTTGTTTCTGCCATAAAATTTGTCACTTGACATACGATACTGTCCAGGCCATTATGCAAATAAAACTTTCGATATTTATGTTTGCCATTGTGTTTCGTTTTCCAATTATTGGCTGTGCAAGATTATCACAATAAAGTGAATGTTTATGTTGCCATTTTATAAAGAGTTAATAAATTCAATTGAAGTATTAAAATTCAAGTGATAACAATATTTATTGTTGTTTTCCGGGCAGTAAAAAAGATGCCGTATATTTGCTAAACATAAATTTCCGAAAATCTCTCAACTAAGCTATGAAAAAGTAGCTGAGTGAACATATCGAGCCCTAACCGCCAAAATAACGTAAGCGATATTTTTTTCAAAATTTTCTTTTTGATGCAGAAATGTATCTAGATGCTCTAGGAATATTTCTGCATCAAAAAGAAATGTATGCAGGTTGTTGCATTGTAATATCAGAGCAAGCGTGTTCGATATTTTAGAAAACTATGCATTTCTAATTGTTCCTGCTTCTAGCATCAAATTAAATTTTTTTTTGAAAAAGTGGACTTAGCGGCAATTTTTTTTTTTTTGGTTAGCGATATGCAGTTTTAAAAAGCAAAAGAAAGCTGTTTTTTAGAAGTACCAGATTTCGCTGCTTTTGAACTGGTGGAGATCTAGTTGCTATCGCACTAGTTTGTTGTTGGCGATAAAGATTTGATTAGTTCGTACATTCTAAAATTCCAATTCCATTCCTCGAAATTCGAAATATAATAATAATTCGAAAATATATTTGTGTATTTATTCATTTATTTACATACATATTTCTCGTTCATTTGCTTATTTACATTGTTTTGGCATATGTGGCAAGTTGCAAGTTGAAAGTGTGTTGTTGTTGGCGCGGCAACTACAAATGCTACAGCAGCGATAAATCAATTCGTCGAAGCATTATAAACAAAAAAGTACGGTGAACAAATCGAAACACATGAAGCAATAAATATACTCACGAAACTGCAGGCCAAATATAGTAAAACTGCGTTTTTAGTTTTTCTCTCTAACATCAAGATTTTTTTTTTTTAAAGATTTTGTAGTAGTCGAAGATGTGATTAATTCCAAAATTTATCTAAAAAATTTATTCCAATGTAGAAAAAAGTAAGGGCACCAGATGGAAAAGAAAATTCTGTAGAATAAAAAAAATAAAAATAAAATTTTGTGGTTCACTAGGACGAATATGTATTGAAAATGTCCTTTTAATTAGTTTTAGTTTTTAAGCGAATGAAGTTAGAAGGATGAAATTCAAGGATGTGGTCGAGTGCATTTTCGTCACTAAGGTATAATTTTTTCGAAAATAATTAATATAAAATTTCATGGATATTGAATGATAAAATATGAAAGGTACATTTTCCATACCTTATCGTCCGTAAGCGACAAAAAAAAAATTTATCGGGCTTTATTCTAAAAAAATTTCTCTTTTATTTGATAGTCATACTGTTTTTCTACATTCCACCAAATTTTTTAAATAATTAAATTTTTCAAATTTCAAACTCCTTCACAAAAAAATCTTGATGTCAGATAGAAAAACTAAAAAACGCAGTTTTACTATATTTTGCCCATGGTTTTCCGAATATATAAAATTTTCTGTCGCACGGTTTAATCAATGTTTTTTTTCTAAGAAACCGCATATCAACCGATAAAAGAACGCCAAATACTTAGAAATTCTAAATATATATAAAACTTAACATAATTAGTTATTTGGATTTTCCTATAGTTGAAAGAATTCATAAAATTCATAAATTAGTCTGACAAAAGTTTCTTGAGACAGTTTACAAAAAGAAAAATCTACACATATGAAGGTACATATACAGAGATCTAGTCAAAAAGGTTATAATTTCTTCTTTTTGGTTTTCGAAATAGGCATTTTTGGCTCCACAAAAATCTGTTGCTGATTATCTGGTCCTTACTGTTTAACAATTACAAAATATTTGCTCCTACCTCCTACATAGGCTTTCGTGTTTTTGTTTGGATTTTGAAATGTTTTACCAGTACATACTAAGTAAAATACAGCTTGCATATTTTCATGTAGGTATACATACATAAATAGCCTACACACACAAAACGATTGAAACACGCACGCTCTAATAGAGTTGTAATAGAGAAAACACAAAAATACATACATACAATACATACTTACATACATATGTACGTTTAAGAAATAGTATTACCGGCACATTCTATGCTTTCCCAATTTGTATTTCCAATTTGTTTTCAATTCGTGTACAGCCAGAAATTTTTTAGCATATTTGAAAGTACAACATCGATGCATGCACATGTATGTATATATGTGCATTAGGTTGGTCCAAAAATGCATGTGAAAAGGTAAAGTCGGAATTTTTATGTTCTCAACCACTAGTATTGTTGCATACCGAAAAAATATACGCCTATTCGTTTATTTTGAAACAAAAAATAATTAGAGGTCGCTCAATGCGCTGAAAGTTTCTTTCCCACTGTTCTTTTATTTGAGGTGAGTTAAAAAAAATATTCGTGGCCCATTTTAAATTTGATTTATTTGGCGGATATTCAGTTTTCTTCTTCCTTTTGTGGGCTTTTTTCCGCCATAATTTTCACACTTTTTAAAATAAAGGAGTGCATGTCTGCATCCTATCTTCCAGTTCTTCACCCAATTTCACAATTTGAATAATCTTCCTTTTGGTACGATTTATTTTGACCTTCTTAGTTTTATTAAGGGAATTCACTTTTAGCGTTTTGACAAATCCTTAAAAACTGATTTTGTACTTTAATTATCAATAACTTGCCAATGGACAATTTAATGCAAAAAAACTACTTTTTTTTTAAATTCCTAATATGCTTTCGACTTCTTTATTCAGGTGCGTTTAAACGAATATTTACCGATATTTAGTAAAGTATTTACAGTACAATAATTTAAACAACAATAATGAAAATAAATTTTTGGCATGCAATATAAACTGCCGATAGTTTGACGAACAAT